CCACTTGAGCCACAGCACCACTTCCAGCTTTTTTCTTTTTGCTTATGTGGTGCTGAGGAATCGAACCCAGGGCCTCGAGCATGAAAGGCAAGCGCTCTACCGCTGAGCCACCTTCCCAGCCCCATCTGTGAGACTCTTATCTCCAATGAACCACCAGAAAACCAGATGTGGTGCTGTGGCTCAAGTGGTAGAGTGCTAGCCTGGAGCTGAGGGACAGCGTCCAGGCCCAGGCCCCATGACTGACCCTCCTTCTCCCCCCAAAAGGCCCTTTCTCTCTGCTCTCATCTCATCAGAACAATATGCCTTTGCTTTTACAGAGTCCTTCTGTGGCCTTCCCCAAGTGGCTCTCCCATCCAGTGCCCTGTGAACAGCCTCCTCCACTCCCTGAGGTAAACACTCACCCTGGGTAAGAACTATGAGTGAATGATTGTGGTCCAGCAAATGCCCAGGTGAACAAACTCCTTTCTTTAAGAATCTGGAGCTGGGCTGGGAATGTGGCTCCGTGGTAGAGTGCTTACCTAGCATGCAGGAAGCCCTGGGTTCAATTCCTCAGTACCAAATAGACAGATAAAGCTGGAAGTAGTACTGTGGCTATAGTGGTAGAATGCCAGCCTTGAGCAAAAGAAGCTCAGGGATAGTGCCCAGAACTGGCAAAAGAATTTAAAAAAAAAAGAAGAAGAAGAAGCCCAGTGCTGGTGGCTCACACTTGTCATCCTAGCTACTCAGGATGCTGAGATCTGAGGATCACAGTTCAAAGCCAGCCCGGGTAGAAAAGTCCATGAGACTCTTATCTCCAATAAACCACTAGAAAACCAGAAGTGGCGCTGTGGCTCAAGTGGTAGAGCACTAGCCTTGAGCTAAAGAGCTGAGGGACAGCACCTAGGCCCAGAGTTCAAGCCCCACAACTGACAGGAAAAAAAAAAAAATGGAGCTGGACTCAGTATCCTTGTTTCAAACTGTGACATCCTGGGTGTTTTGCAGGATTTGAGATGTTGAGATGTCTACCATATTTTATGTTTCACATGTTATTGCTTTCAGCTTAATTCGTATAGCCAGTTTACCCACTTTATAGCTCTAAGGGTACTAACGAGAGACTCATGTTTACTGACTCATCCTTTTGGAGCAGGGTCTTCCAGACCCCAGCCGAGTATCCTCCGAAGTACAGCAGATGTGGGCACTGACAGAAATGGTCCGGGCCAATCACACTTCTACAAGGATCGGCCGCTTTGATGTGAGTTACTCCCTCCTTCTGCTTGGCTTGCATTGTCCTGAGCAGGTCAGAACTGATTGTCTTTTCTGTTGCAGGTGGATGGCTGTTATGACCTGAATTTACTTTCTTACACTTGAATGGAAACTCCTCCCTGAGACTTGGATCCATCGAGGCTTGAGCCACCAGAAACCACAGAAGCCTTTTCCCTGTGTATTTTGAGTATTGCCTGACTGTGTGTTCTGGTTTGGGCCACGCACAAAGATTCAAAACTCACCCGGCTCACTGAATAGCTTCAGTATGACTTCCTGACTGGGGTTGGGGTGGGAGGTTGCACTGTGTCTTTGCCTGCAATGCAATCCCTTCTCCTACCCTGCAAATATACAAATAAGAATACTTATTAAGCATACTTACTGGGGCTGGGAAGATGGCTTAGTGGTAGAGTGCTTGCCTAGCATGCATGAAGTCCTGGGTTCGAGTCTTCAGTACTACATCGACAGAAAAAGCTAGAAATGGTGCTGTGGCTCAAGTGGTAGAGTGCTAGCCTTAAGCAAAAGAAGCTCAGGGCCCAGGCCTTGAGTTCAAGCCCCAGGACTGGCAAGAAAAAAAAAAAGAATACTTACTAAGAATATTAAGAATCTAGAGAGTTCTCAAGCTTTCTGCCCTCCACATATGCCTGTTTTCTGCTGGTTTCCCCACCTTAAGTACAGAGAACTGAGGTGAATTTGTTCCATTTCAACCTAGAAGACCATGCCTTGGTATCAACCATAAGTTAGGAAGCTCCAGGAAAATACTTCTCAGTCCTTCCTCTGTTCCCTCTGGTGGTCCTTTTACCATTCTTTTCTTTTTTTTTTTGGGTGCGGGCGTGGGGCCTGAACTCTGGGCCTGGGCGCTGTCCCTCAGCTCTTCAGCTCAAGGCTAGTGCCCTACCACTTGAGTCACAGCGCCACTTCCAGCTTTTTTCTTTTTGCTTATGTGGTGCTGAGGAATCGAACCCAGGGCCTCAGGCATGCAAGGCAAGTGCTCTACCACTGAGCCACCTTCCCAGCCCCTTACCATTCTTTGTGTGTGTGTGTGTGTGTGTGTGTGTGTTCCTAGGGCTTGAACTCAGGGCCTAGGCACTGTCCCTGAGGCTTTTTGCTCAAGGCTAGGGCTCTACCACTTGAGCCACAGCTCCATTTCTAGCCTTTTTTTTTTGGTAGTTAATTGGAGTTAAGAACCTCCACAGACCTGAAACAAGATCCCCTGATCTCAGCCTCCAGACTATTTAGGATTATAGGTTTGAGCCACAGGTGCCTGGCCCTTCATCCTTTCTTTCTTTTCTGTTTTCCTTTTGTTAGTCATGGGGCTTGAACTCTGGGCTTGGGCGCTGTCTGTCCCTCAGCTCTTCAGCTCAAGGCAAGTGCTCTACCACTTGAGCCACAGCGCCAATTCCAATTCCGGGTTTTCTGGTGGTTTATTGGAGATAAGAGTCTCACAGACCTTCCTGCCCGGGCTGGCTTTGAATTGTGATCCTCAGATCTCAGCCTCTTGAGTAGCTAGGATTATAGGCGTGAGCCACCAGCACCTGGCTTATGCTAGGGTCTCAGAATGAGATTTGCAACCTGTCTGCCATTTGATACTGTCCAAAACACATCCACATCTGTCCCCCACCCTATATCTGTTCTTTCAATTCCTTTCTAGTCATGCTTCAAATGATGAGACGGTGGTGGTGGTAGGGTCCAAATAGTTTCTCAGAGGTGCCTTTTGAGAGAATGAGGTCCTCCAAGACCCCAGCCCGACTGTAATGACGGCTATTCCTCCTTCCAATGATGCAACACTATTCCTCTCTAGTTATTCCTGGCTTTGCTCTTGGGGGAGGGGGCTGTGACAAAGCTGTGTCACAAGATGTCTCAGATCTGAGAATGAAGTCACCTATGTGCTGAACAGTTTTCTGAAGGAAGTGAAGTCACCTTTTGGTGGCCAGCTTCCATTCTCACCCCTCTGCCTTTTCTTCAAAAAAAAAAAGTTTATTTTATTTTTTTGGTGAGGTGCTGCTGGGTTATTTATTTAGCCCCATTCAGTTTTGATAGAAAAGGTGATCACTAGAGTCCTGTGTTGGGAGGGAGGGGGAGGGGAGAGGTCACAGCTATGGCTCCCAGCACAGGGCCTGATGTAAAGCAAGGTCAAATAAATACTTGCGGAATGCATGACTTGGTGGCTGTCAGAGTCTGTGCAATCAGTAATCAGAGGGCTGGAGATCCTTAGAGAGTCCGGGCTATAGTAGTACTCCTTCTGCCTGGCTGGCTCTCTCTCATGACCTCTCCAACCACCCCCGCCTCCCCTTCCATTTGACTAGAATGTGTAATTCAGGCCTTTCAGCCCAGAGTAGAACTTTGACCCTCTAGAAGCCTGGCGAGATCACTTTAGGAAAATTGTAGCCCCCAGCTCTGATTCTGGGAGGCCTTAATCAGCTTGGGATTGTCTAACCTGTTTTGAATAGCCAGAGGGAAGGGCCTAAAAGCTGAGTTGGCTTCCAAGGCAACTTTGAAGCTCAGCTTGCCCTCCAGGCTTATCCTCGTTTTCTGATCCCCTGCGGGCTCAAGAGACCTGCCCAAGCCCCTGCTCCGGACTACATCTCCCAGCGTGCCTAGCAGAGTGGTATCCTCAGTGTGCCGTCTGCACCAGCTGCTGGTGGACAATGCTGCGGGCTGTGAGCCTTGTGTCCCCTCTTGGCTTTCGACTTTCGACTCTCCCCTCAGTCCGAGGTCGCCCACTGAGTTGTGCACAGGTGGGATAAGGGGTGCTGAGGCCTGATGCCGATCTGGGAGGGTGGGGAGGGGGGCTGCCTGGTGGGGGAGGGAAGAAGGTTGCTGGTACCTGAAGTCCTGGTGGTACTATGGCTGGCTGCCCACAGGATGTACTCCGCAGGACTCCTCTCTATGACTTCCACCTGGCCCATGGTGGGAAAATGGTGGCATTTGCCGGTTGGAGTCTGCCTGTGCAGTACCAGGAAAGTCACATTGAGTCACACCTGCATACACGCCGGCACTGCTCACTCTTCGATGTGTCCCACATGCTACAGGTAAGGCAGGAAAGTGATCAGACTTTACTCTTTATCCACAGCGCTGGGTCCTTCAGCATTTGTTCCTGGGAGGTAGATTTTGGAGATTATTCTTCCCACAAGACTTAGAGATTTTATTTTATTCTTTTGATGGACTGGGCACCATCCCTGAACTCTTTTGCTCAAGGCTAGTACTCTACCACTTTGACCCTCAACACCACTTCCAGTTTTCTGGTGGTTCATTAGAGATAAGAGTCTCAAGGACATTCCTGCCCAGGCTTGGCTTTGAACCGTGATCCTTAGATCTCAGCCTCCTGAGTAGCTAGGATTACAGGCGTGAGCCACCAGTGCCTGGCAAGAGGTCTTTTTTTATGAATTATAAAATTGTATTCTTTGGTGCCAGTTCTGGGGCTTGAATTCAGGGCTTGGGCCATCCTATACCTTAGCTTTTCCACTCAAGGTCAGTGCTCTACCATTTGAGCCACAGCTCCACTTAGAACTTTTTGCTGGCTAATTGGAGATAAGAGTCTTTTTTTTTTTTAGAGGGATTTTTTTTGGGGGTCCGGTCATGGGGCCTGAACTCTGGGCCTGGGCGCTGTCCCTCAGCTCTTCAGCTCAAGGCTAGCACTCTACCACTTGAGCCACAGCGCCACTTCCAGCTTTTTTCTGCTTATGTGGTGCTGAGGAATCGAACCCAGGGCTTCATGCACGTGAGGCAAGCGCTCCACCACTGAGCCAACTTCCCAGCCCCTCCCTGAACTCTTTTGCTCAAAGCTAGTACTCTACCACTTGAGCCACAGCTCCACTTCCAGTTTTCTGGTAGTTAATTGGAGATAAGAGTCTCAGGGACTTTCCTGCCTGGGCTGGCTTTGAACTGCAATCCTCAGATCTCACCCTCTTGAGTAGCTAGGATTCCACAGATATGAGCCACCAGCACCCAACTCTAATCTCTTTTGCCTGCTCTCACTGTGACATAATGCCTTTAGTTTTTCAGAGCTGACAACTGTTCTTATTTACTGTGCTGGGTAGTGGTTTGGAAAGGAGGCTTTCAGTAAGGTACTAGGTCCTCTTAAAAGGTCTCCCAAGGGCTGGGAATGTGGCTTAGTGGTACAGTGTTTGCCTGGCATGCATGAAGCCCTGGGTTTGATTCCTCAGTACCACAGCAAAAGCCAGAAGTGGTACTGTGGTTCAAGTGGTAGAGTGTTAGCCTTGGGCAAAAAAGCAGCTCAGGGACAGTGCCCAGGTCCTGAGTTCAAGTCCCAGGACTGGCCAAAAAAAGAAAAAAGAAGAAGATGTCTCCCATACCTCCCTCAGTCACACCTGGGCTAATGAAATGTGGAAGAATGAGAGGATGGGGGCTTTTCATACCTCCAGATCCAAAAGACTGGTCATTACTTGTGAGCTAAACTGCACTTTGGATGGCTGGGAGGAGACCTCCTAGATCTAGTGGCCTTTTGGATTGCAGCTGTTATCCTGGTCTGAGGCTTTCGATATCTGTCCTAGACCGAGATACTTGGTCGTGACCGGGTGAAGCTCATGGAGAGTCTAGTGGTGGGTGATATTGCAGAGCTAAAGCCAAACCAGGTGAGTCTTTTATCCTTTATTTTTTTCCTTTAGTGGTTTGGGGTTTGGACTTGGGGCCATCTACTTGCTTAGTTGATGATCCCAGAAGCCACCTCTGCTTTTTTGCTTATTACTTATTTATTTATTGGTTGGTTATGAGGCTTGAACTCTAGGCCTGGGCGCTGCCCTCAGCTCTTCAGCTCAAGGCAAGTGCTCTACCACTTGAGCCACAGCACCAGTTCCAGCTTTTTCTGCTTATGTGGTGCTGAGGAATCAAACCCAGGGTGTCATGCATGCAAGTCTTCGCAGCCCCCACTTTGAAGCTTTTATTCTGGGGTCTATGGGTGGAGTTGTCTGGGTGGGATTGGTTTAATATGACTGGGGGGGGCGGGCGCCGTGGGAGGTGGGTAAAGATCATGAGGATTAAAGACACTGGATTTGAGTCCAGCCTTGACTATTGAATCCATAATGCTGTACCAAGGTTCATAAGTCTGGTGTTTAAGTGTGTCTGAGGGTCGGTCTGGCTTATCTTTTGGCCTTGGTTTAATGGATCTGGAAGCAAAGATGCTTTACTTTGATACCAGGGGACACTGTCATTGTTTACCAATGAGACTGGAGGCATCTTAGATGACTTGATCGTGACCAATACTTCTGAGGGGTATCTCTATGTGGTATCGAACGCTGGCTGCTGGGACAAGGATTTGGCCCTCATGCAGGTAAGTCCCTCTGTGTTCTTGCCACTTTGTTTTCTTTGTTCATAAAACAGAGTCCTTATGATCTAGGACAGACCTAGTGCAGACAAGGGGGCTTGGAAAAGAGCTTAGTGAGTGACTAAACAGCTATGAGACTTAAGAGCAGGCCTTCCCTGGAACATACTAGAGTTTGGTGGGGGTGGGATGGATTACGTGAGGGAGGGGTGAGATCCTGTCCCCTTAGTGTACATCTTTGGGTGAAGGCATAAGGTGACAGATCTGAGCTTAGGTTATTTCTACCACTTAGTAGCTGTATGACCTTATAAGATCGGGTTACTAGCCGGGTGCCTGTGGCTCATGCCTGTAATCCTATCTACTCAGGAGGCTGAGGAGTGTGGTTCAAAGCCAGCATGGGCAGGAAAGTCCCTGAGACTGTTATCTCTAATAAACCACTCAGAAAACCAGAAGTGGCACAGTGGCTCAAGTGGTAGAGATCTAGCCTTGAGCACAGAGAGACTCAGGGACAGAGCCCAAGCCCTAGAGTTCAAGCTCCAGGACTAGCCAAAAAAAAAAAAAGTGATTCTAGAAACTGATATGGTATTTCTGCTTTTCATTTCAGGACAAGGTCAAGGAGCTTCAGAACAAGGGCAGTGATGTGGGCCTGCAGGTGGTGGACAATGCTCTACTAGCCCTGCAAGGTGAGGTGGCCAAGCTGGCCAAGCCAACTTTGACCTTCATGATTTCATTTCTCATTTAAAGACGAAGTGATCAATATTTGTATACCATCACTCTCAGGTATTTTCCCCTTTCCCCATCTTTCACAAGGCTTCAGGAGCTAGGAGCAGGGTCGATTTCTCCTTCTTGTTGAGTATGACTTATTTAGGTCTTTGGTCCCTAAGAACTACAGTCTAGGGGCTGGGGAAGGTGGCTCAGTGGTAGACTGCTTGCCTTGCATGCATGAAGCCCTAGGTTCAATTCCTCAGTGCCACCTAAACAGAAGAAGCCAGAAGTGGTGCTGTGGCTCATTGGTAGAGTGCTAGCCTTGAGCAAAAGCAGCTCAGGAACAATGCCCAGGCCCTGAGTTCAAGCCCCAGGATTGGCAAAAAAAACAACAACCCAAACCAAACCAAACTATAGCCTAGCTTTGAGGGGTGCTGGGACTAGGATCCCTGGTCATTGGTTCCCTGGGTCTAGGCCCCACTGCTGCTCAGGTGCTACAGGCTGGTGTATCAGATGACCTAAGGAAACTGCCCTTCATGACCAGTGCAGTGATGGAGGTGTTTGGCGTGTCTGGCTGTCGTGTGACCCGCTGTGGCTACACAGGAGAAGATGGTGTAGAGGTATGTTAAAAAGTGGGTGCCGCTGGGAAGGTGGCTTAGTGATCGAGTGCTTGCCTAGCATGCATGAAGCCCTGGGTTCGATTCCTCAGTACCACATACACAGAAAAGGCCAGAAGTGGCTCAAATGGTAGAGCACGATCCTTGAGCAAAAGAAGCTCAAAGACAGTGCCCAGGCCTTGAGTTCAAATCCCAGGACTGGCAAAAAAAAGAAAAGAAAAAGGTTGTAAGGCACAAGCTTGGGCTAACAGCTCACCTGCTCTGGTGTTTCTTGTAGATCTCAGTGCCAGCCACTGAGGCCGTCCACCTCGCAACAGCTCTATTGAAAAACCCGGAGGTAAAGCTAGCAGGGTTGGCAGCTCGGGACAGCCTGAGACTGGAGGCAGGTCTCTGCTTGTATGGGAATGACATTGATGAACACACTACACCTGTGGAAGGCAGCCTCAGTTGGACACTGGGTAAGCTAACATTCAAGAGGGTCCTCTAGCTTAAGAGTGATCTTGGGAGGAATGGTGCTTGGAGGAGCCCAAGGGAAAGATGCCTTGGTGCTTGATGGGAGTTACTTGGGTTTCCTGGTAGCGAGAACCTCGCATGGCTAGCGATAAAATGTACTATGGCTTAGCCAGGCACCGGTGGCTCTTGCCTGCCATCCTAGCTACTCAGGAGGCTGAGATCTGAGGATTGCAGTTCAAAGCCAGCCTGGGCAGGAAAGTCTGTGAGACTCTTATCTTCAGTGAACCACCAGAAAACCCGAAGTGGAGCTGTGGCTCAAGTGGTAGAGCGCTAGCCTTGAGCAGAAGAGTTCATGGATAGTGCCCAGGCCCAGGGTTCAAGCCCCATGACCAATTACAACAACAAAAAAGTACTATGGCTTAGATCTGGTATGTTCTGTTCCAGGCAAGCGCCGCCGGTCTGCTATGGATTTCCCAGGGGCCAAGGTCATTGTACCCCAACTGAAGGGCGAGCTGCAGAAGAGGCGTGTGGGGTTGACATGTGAGGGGGCCCCAGTGCGGGCACACAGTCCCATCCTGAGCACCGATGGCACTGTGATTGGTAAGGTGGTTCGGGGAAAGCTTTTCTCCAGGAAAGGTGAGCATCTTGAACTGGCAGGTTGGCAATAACCCATGCTCTGTGCTTGAACAGGTACCGTGACAAGTGGCTGTCCCTCACCCTGCCTCAAGAAGAACGTGGCGATGGGTTATGTGCCTTCCAAGTTCAGCCGGCCAGGGACACAGCTGCTGGTAGAGGTTCGGCGGAAGCAGCAGATGGCCATTGTCAGCAAAATGCCCTTTGTGCCCACCAACTACTATACCCTCAAGTGAGGATGAGTCAGGGGAGGAGCTCTCCCTTCCAGGATTCTTGTTCTGGAGGGAATCATACAAGACTTAAGTAAGGACAACAAGGCAGAAATTGATGGGGATGGGCAAGTGAGTGGTTTGCTCTAGTTGGATGGAAAGAGCTATCTATACACGTCTCCTCCCCCTCCTTCCCCTCCCTCCTCCTTCTTCTCTGGGGCTTGAACTCAGGGCCTGGGCACTGTCCCTGAGCTTCTTTTACTCTATCACTTGAGCCACAGCACCAAACTCTGGCATTTTCCTGTGTATATGGTACTGAGGAATGGAATCCAGGGCTTCATGCATGCTAGGCAAGCACTCTACCACTATGCCACATTCCCAGCCCCAGGACCCCACTTCTAAGTGTGAGATTAGCTCATCTAATATCCCAGTTCATTCTGACCCTGCTCACCTTGGTGGAGAAGGAAATCACCTGCCCAACCTACCTTACCAAGGTTTCTCGTATTTCAAAGGGTTATTGCCATGGGCAGTGTGGTTTGAAGGCTGCCTCCTCTACTTCGCTTTCCATGAATACACACTATTGCCTCTCTCTGCGCAGAAATGAATCTTGGCGTACAGTGCTGGCAGTTTTTTCCTGGGGGATGGCTGAGTGATCACGGACTCATCCTTCCACATTCCCAGTCAACTTAAGTCTGTTGCCTAGTAGCAAGCTACACAGGCTTACTACCTGGGCTAACCTGTAACCTGAGCCTGTAACTGGACTTTATAAATCACTAGGGAAGGAAATTAAAGGGGTTTCCTGCCTTGTCATGGTCTTCAGCCTCATTGTATTTTTGTCCACAGGGTTCCTGGGGTGCTAGTTCAAGAATGTTTGCCTTTCCTAAGCCACCCTGTCTTGGAATAGTTTCTTATATGAGTGGGGCCAGATCTATAACTAAGGGTGGGGAGGGGGGGAGGGGAAGGGGTTGACTCAATGGATACAAAATTCTGAGTTAAAGCCCTATTACTGTCAAAGAAAGAACAAATGAGGGTATTTCAACTATTGGACACCTCTCTCTACTCCTGCAAACTGTGGCATTTGGGACCCTGAGGGATCAGCCTCCAGCATGTTCTCTTACCAGTTGCCCCTTGCATGCACATTTGACCTCTTTGGAATAACCACACAATGGATGCATTTCTGTGTTTAATAAGCCACATCTTCAAGTTGAGCCTGGGGATGCAATGTCAGACCCTGATTCTGTGTGGTGGCATTGGTGGATGGGCCTGAGGCTATGAAGAGGACCTTCTTCCTAGCCCAGAGATGTCTCTGGAGTAGGTATGTGCACATGAGGAGTCCAGTATGGTCTCACTTCCAGTGCACCTGCCATGAAGTCTGCCTAGTCAGAGGCTGTCGGATGGGTGTGTAGAGGACAAGCAGGCAAGTGGGACAGTGAGGTAGCTGGTGGTCCAGCAGAGATAGGCAGAGAATACCACTATTAGGGAAGGCGGCAGGTGCAGGGACACATCATGCCTTCGGGACTACAGGAAGTAGTATTTCTCTGGGGGCATTTGTCTCCTCCCCCTTTGGAACCTCCTCTAACCCACTGGCTGAAGGGAGTCTAGACCAGGTGAAGGTCTGCTTGGGTCTTTTGACTCTTTTGAGGGCCTAAAAGGTTGCTAGCGGGCTCTTAAGGGTGAGATAGGAACTGAGGAGGCTGTAGGGCATAATGGAATTACTCTGCACTAACAGCTTAATATCTCCCCAGGAATGGGTAGAGACCCCAAGATCTGGCACCTAAGATAGGAGACTGGAAGGCTCACTTCTTTCAGGCACCAATCTCTCCCACAAGAAGAATAGAAGTGTAAGATTAGTCGGGAAAGATCCTTTCCCTGGCTCATCCCTGGAGCTCTAGTTGGACCCAAGAGGTGGATGTTTGGTGCCTCCCTCTGGATAGTGCCAATAAAGGCACTTTTGCCTTACACCTGGTCAGCTAAGTAACCAAACAGTAGAAGGCTTGGCTCAGGCTAGAATTACCTGGCTCCCCTGTCAACAAAGCAAAACCATGGAAATTCAGGGCCTACAGGAGAACAGACTTCCCTTACAAACCACTGGTCAACTTCAGGCTTCCTCTGAGAAGGACAAATCCCTATAGGGTCATATCCCCAGAGGAATGAAAAGGACAAGGGGGAAAAAAGAAAGCCAAGACAGAACAGGGACTAGTAGCTTCCCCAACTGAAAGGCTTCTCTTAAGCTCTAACCCCTGAGAGGACATGTCATCTCTCCTTAAGGCACTGAGACCAGGGGAGAGGCAAACTCTTCACTTGCCCAATACATAGTGGGCTGTTGAAAGCAAGGCTATAGGCAACTGAGGCTTGCCCTGCAAGCACTGAGTTACTTTCTGCCCCCAACCCTGAGCCCCTCTGTAGTCGTCCCCCAGGATCTAGGAGCCAGCAGACCCCTGTGATGATTCTGGAGACCCTTCTGCTGCTGTCTTCCCTTATTCTCTGTGAGTTTTGACAGGTTCATTTGTTGCAATCTCCCTGAAAGTGGTGGAGAGAAGAGAGAGGTTATTTTATGTTCAGCAGAATATTCCCCTGAGATTGGCTCTCCTCAGCCTCTTGACAGCTAAGCTGGGCTCTGTAAGGCTGCATTACAATCTAATCTGTTTTTGTTTATGCAAGCACGAGGGCTTGAACTCAGGGCCTTGTGCTGTTATTTAGCTTTCACACTTAAGAGCTGATGCTGTCTACCACTTCATCCATATCTCCAGTCACAATTTAGACTCTTTTTTTTGGCCAGACCTGGGTCTTGAACTCAGGGCCCAGGCACTGTCCCTGAGCTTCTTTTGCTCAAGGCTAGAACTCTTACCACTTGAGCCATAGTGCCACTTCTGGCTTTTTCTGTGTATGTGGTACTGAGGACTGGAATCCACCAAGCCACATTCCCACGCATAAGCAGACATTTTCTATGCCAGTACTGGGGCTTCAACTCAGGGCCTGGCTCATTCATTTGGTTTTTCACTGAAGGCTAGCATTCCTCTGCTTGAGCTCCATTTCCAGTTCTGGCATTTTAGTGGCTAATTGGAGCTAAGAGTTTCTGCAGCTAAGACTTTTCTACCTTGGCTAGTATTTGAACTGGGATCCTCAGATCTTACCTTCTAGGGTAGCTAAGGAATACAGGCATGTGAAACCAGAGCCTGGCTAATGTACACACACTCACACAATACATATGCACAATGCTATATACATATATCTATACACACATACGTATATATATATGTACATAAACACATATATAACGTGCACCCATGCACACACATATGAGACAGGGTCTTTTGTGTTCCCAGACTGGCCTCAAACTATGTAACCCAGACTGATCTTGAACTTCCAATCTTCATGCTTCTGTCTGCTGGGTGCTAGGATTACAGATGTCCACTTGCTTCTCTTAGAAACCTTTCATTACTCCTGTGAGACAAGCCTTGGTTGTCCTTCTTGTTTTCTGGGCCTATAGAGAGACTTCTACTGTGTGGTAGAGGCTCAGAGATAAGCTGAATGAATGTCCTGATTAGTTGTTTGAATGAGGAGGCTGACACAATGAGGTCAGCTGGTGTGCTAAGAATAGAGGTACGTAGGGACAGTGGCATAACACTTGCTTAGAAATGGAGACTCTTGGGCTGGGAAGGTGGCTCAGTGGTAAGTGCTTGCCTTGCATGCATGAGACCCAGGGTTCGATTCCTCAGCACCACATAAGTAGAAAAAGGCAGAAGTGGTGCTGTGGATCATGTGATAGAGTGCTAGCCTTGAGCTGAAGAGCTGAGGGGAAGAACCCAGACTCAGAGTTCAGGCCCCACGACTGACCAAAAAAAGAAACGGAGGCACTTGTTTTCCTAACTCAGACATTCTAGATGAGGAGCTTGCTCCCTAAAGACTAGTTATATCTCTGAAATTAATACCAGCATCCACCCTACTGGTTATTGATGAAGGACTCTCCAGATGTTTGTGTCACCCCAACCTGAAATCTAAGCTGTTCATCCGGATTTGGAGGAGGCTTGCAAAGACTACTTGGCTGTTGGACTCACCCTGAGAATTCCTCACCCTATCACCAGCACAGGAGTGTCTTTTGTCTGCCAAGCATGAGGTTGGATGGAGTAAGGGGACAGATTTACTCACCAAGTAGGGAAGTAAGTAGAGCCGTCTGGTGTGGATCCATTTTGGCCGCCCAGACCTGGAGGCAGAAACATGTCAAAGCTACTACCCCTAGCAGCCCAGGGCGGGTTCTACGGTCATGGTTCTGAGAAACAGGTGCAGATGTGATGGGTGGACTGGTGGGGAGTCTTGAAAGAGTAAGATGGCATGGGTCAGGGAACTGAGTTAAGTTCTAATGAGGGCCTTGGAGAGCCAGTGATAGTTTAGGGGAGCCCTGCGGGGGGGACCCCAATGGGTTAGGCAGCCCACGGAGGTTCTTAGGGAGCCTCACCTGGGCGGTGATATAACCCGGTCACGGTGTGCCCGTAGAAACCCCACGCCAGCTGGATGCCCAGGAGACTTAACACCAACCACAGGAGCAGCAGCTTGAAGAGGGTCACGCGCATGTCCTGCGCCTCCCACTCCTTGAGGAACTCGCTGCCCAGGGAACCTAGCATACCCAGCACCGTGGCGGGCAGAGCCTGCAATTCCTGTCCTGACCAAGGCTCCGCCATGACGGGCCTGGGATTCTGTCACCGTAGCTCCCACCGCGCAGGCGTCTGGTCTTCCGGGGTCAGCCCCGTCAACGCGCACGCGTAAGACCAGGAAGCGAGGCCCGATTTCGCTTGCGCGAAGAGTTGGCAGTTTAGGGAGGAGTGTGCAGACCGCGCACGCGCACCTGGCCCCACCCAGCCGACTTTAAAGGACGAGTGACTCCCGGAGTATAAAATAGCAACTGGGTCTTTTATAGCCCCGGCGTTCCCGTGATGCCCCGCGCGGCGGCGTTCATTGGTTCAGACGCGAGCTTTTAGGGCGTGGACGCGCTCCGGAGCAATCGTGGCTGAGTTGTGAATGTCCGCGCGCGCGTGCGCGGGACCGCGACTGGACGCCGGCTCGAGCCCGCTGGGCGCTCGGGGGCGCGCACGTCGTTCCCCGCCCTCCCGCCGCCGCCCGCCCGCCCTCGCTCGCTCGGCTCGCTCGCTCGCGCTCCCCGCCCGCCGCCCTCCGTCGGTTCTCTCGGTTAGTCCGCCCGTCGTCGCCTCTTCGGCTGCCCGCCTTCGTCTCCGAGCTTTGCCGCTCGCCGACCAGGCGTCGTCGGTGTGAAGAGGCTGGACTTGGGAGTCATCGCTTGAGGTGAGCGGGAAGGT